CCGCAAGTTTCAGGCAAACTCACAACGAAACCCTCTACTCACTGAGCGACCGCACCCTTGTCAAAGCAGCAGAGCCAGCACTCAGTCGCTTCTATCCCTTTTGGACCGAGCCCGATACCCCGGGGTTTAGGGTTTAGGGTTTAGGGTTAGGTGAAAGTTCTGGCTTAAGAAACCCTAAACCCTAAAACCCGAAACCGTGCATGGCTTCTCGCTAGCCCAGGAGACCTCAAGAGCAACTCCCGCCGCCGACCTGGAGGCCATAGATGCCACTGTAGTGGAGCCCTGGCTGCAGGGTTTTCAGGACATCTCCCGTTTTGGGGGCTTTTGGTTTTGGGCTACGTTTAGGGTTTAGGGTAGGGTTCGGTTTAGAGCCGTTTCCGGCGGGATTCTGTGGAAGTCTGCTTTCAGGTTCCGGTTTGAAACTTGGGGCATCGGGGCCTTGGATTGCAGTCGTGCTCTGGTCTTCTGATGACCCTCCTAAACCCTAAACCCTAAAGTTTAAACCCTACACCCTTGAACCCTAAACCCTACACCGTAAACTTTATAGCCTACACCCTAAAGCTTTAAACCCCAAACCCTAAATTGTAAACCCTACACCCTAAACTTTAAACCCTAAACCCTAAATGGGACTTTCCGAAAATTTGGGTACCTTATTTTGGGGTCCTTATAATAAGGATCCTATTATTTAGGGTACTATATTAGGGTCCCCTATTTTCGGAAACCCCCAAATCCTAAACTCTACCAGGCTTCATCTCAGTCCTTGCAGGGCGTCCATTTCACGGAAGTCCTGCCGCGCACTGCGGTGCCTAGAGCGAAGCCTGGGTGGCCACAACACCCAAATCCCTAAAGCCTAAACCCAAAAACCCTAAACCCTAAACCCCTAAGGCCTTGTCAACCCCTAAACGTTAAACCCCCAATCCCGCCCCCCCAGAAAAAGAGCATCCTACATGCGAATGTGTTCGAGGCCTGTCTGGCGTGCGTTATGGAACGAACCCCGCAAAAAAAACAAAAAAAAAAAACGCTTCTAGAACCTGCTTGGACGATTTCGGGTTCACGGTTTAGGGCCCTGATGGGGCCAGGACAATGCCAGGGACTCCAAAAACCGCTTCATGCAACAAGGGACCTTCCCTCCTCTTCGGTCCCCGTTATGGTTTAAAGGAGTATTCCTTTAACTTAGGAACCATTATGGTTTAAGGGAATATTCCTTTAACTTAGGAACCATTATGGTTTAAAGGAATATTCTTTTAACTTAGGAACCATTATGGTTTAAGGGAATGTTCCTTTAATTTAGGAAGATACCCCTAGATCAAATATAAAGCACTTCATGGATTCCTCATAAACCCCATAGAAAGCCTACCACAAGCCCCACCAAACCGGAATAAGACCCTTCGTTTCGAAAGGCTTTTGGAGTCTCGCCTTATAGAACCCTCAGAACTTCTTTTTAGAATCCTCGTCAAGCCCCAAGCGCTTCTAAGACCCTTGACCCTAAGCCCTAAGCCCTACATGGGACAGTGGTTTTGGGGCTTTTGGTTTTGGGCTACATTTAGGGTTTAGGGTATAGGGTTTGGGGTTTAGGGTTCGGTTTAGACTCTCGGGATCCTGAGCCCTAAATGGGGCTTAGGGTTTAGGGTTTAGGGTTTAGGGTTTAGGGTCCATGCGCGCCTTCGCTCGCAAGGGCCTGGAAGCAGAGCATGCCCATGAGCGCACCCAAGAGCATCCTTTGCTGGGCTTGGGGCTTGTAGTTGTGGTTTAAGGCTTTGGGTTTAGGGGTTTAGAGCCCTAAACCCTAAACTTAGGGGCTCAGGGCCCTAAACGCTAAACCCTAAACTGAGGGGTTTCGGTTTCGGCTTGGCTTTAGGGCGAAGCACGGGCTTCGGCCGGGGTTTAGGGCAAGATGCAAACGATTGGAAAACTTGACTGCAAAAGACAATCCTGTGGTCTTTGGGGTTTAGGGTTTAGGGCTTAGGAGGCCGATGTAGACTACTAGTCTCGGGGTTTGCGGCTGTTTCAAGCTGTGTAGATTTGCCGTACAGGATCTTCTTTGTCTTCTGATACTGCATACTGACCCGAAACAGTTCGGAAGGCAACCTCTGAATCCGGGGAGGGTTTCAACTGCTGCTCCGCCCATCTTGTTCTCATTCGCTCGGCCTTCTGACCTAATGTGGATCCCTCGGCTACGTGAAGGATGCAAAGCTTGCAGCCTCATCGAGCGTTGAAGGGGCTCTTGAAAGTTGTTTTCAGGGCTGGCTCATGGATTTTTTGGCCCAGGGTTTGCTGGGTTTATGGAGTTGAGGGGTCGACGATCATTCCGATGATTGCGACCTTCGCGATGTCCGGCTTTGAATTGAGAGCCTGTGACTTCCGCGAGCAGTACTTGGAGCTTCATGGGCAGGTATGACTGGCGTTCCATTGAGGGTGCTATAGGGCTTAAGGCTTTGGGTTTAGGGTGTCATAAGGGGGGTGATAAGTGGTGTAACTATAACTACAACCCATATAAGGGGCCTTATAGCCCCACTTAAAAACTACCCATGAACC